GAAGTTCTTACCCATGTTAAGTGAAGGCAGCCATTAAATGAAGATGTGGTTGAAGCTAACGTACTGCACTTTTTCATCGTCTCCTTCAAAAGATTTCTACGATGAGTACCTTTTGGGGTTTTTCTTCAATATTTATTGAAGTTTAAACATTTTGTTGATTTTTTCCCTTCCAAAATGTGATTGCAAATCTCTGTGTTTGTGGCTAGAGTGTGTGTGTGTACCTCCATTGAATAAAGACGTCTCTCAAGCTATGATTGGCACTTTTTATCAGTGCCATTTTCGAAAGATGGCAGGTTGGGAGAAGGTCGTTTTTAAGTTTTCTCTTCTCTTTATGTTGAAGATTAAATCGTTTAAAATGTGACGGCTCATGTCTCTTTTTATGTTATTGCGATTCTTGTTTTGCGTCTGAAGGGTCATTCCTTACAGGAAAGGAATGTCCTTCGGGAATGTGAACATTGTAGATCACCCCAATCGAAAAAATATATAAATATTATACCCTTAAGCCTTACTACTACTACTACTACTACTACTACTACTACTACTACTACTACTACTACTACTACTACTACTACTACTACTACTACTACTACTACTACTACTACTACTACTACTACTACTACTACTACTACTACTACTACTACTACTACTACTACTACTACTACTACTACTACTACTACTACTACTACTACTACTACTACTACTACTACTACTACTACTAAGAACGAGCGTTATTGATTATCTAATATGTGATCAGTGTACATTTCTCAACGTTGCAAATTTTGTTGTTAAACAGCCATCTTATTTATCGGATCATAGTGCCATCGTGGCATGGCTCAATCTTAACAGCAGGTTAATTGGAGACGAAATGCACACTACAAATAGTAGCAATAGATTATCAAAATTACCACGGCAATTTTGCTGGGAAGTTGACTCACATTTCAAATTCAAAAACGCACTTCGCACGGAACCAATCTAAATTCTAATTAGACAATATATGGAGAGAAACACCGAAGATGTGAATATCTCCTAAGAAAACGCTATGGAAATTCTAACTGAGACCTCCAAGCTATGCCTAAAAATTAAAGCTAAGAAAACTTATAAGCGTATTAAGAAATCATCCAACAAGAAATGGTTCGACTGTGAATGTCGCTTGAAAAGGCGTGAATTACGAAAAGTCTCAAATGAAAAGCACCGTGACCCCCTCAACTCCGAAGTGCGGGAAAGATATCACAAAACCTTCAATGATTACAAAAAGCTCCTAGACACAAAGAAGAGAGGATTCCACAAAGAAAAAACATTACAACTCGACGAACTAGCTTTAAATCCTGACAAGGCGTCATTTTGGAATTGTTTAAATTCGATGAGCGACACTTTCAACGAAAATGTTCCTGCCCCAATCTCGGAAGAATCATGGCTTCACCATTTCAAATCTCTGCATTCTATTGACCCGACGAATTCCACGCATGAACATGAAATCCATAGGGAACTAAATTCTTTAGAACACGAAAAGGAACAGTTTAACCATCTCGATTATGAGATAACTCAGAGGGAAATACGTCAAGCGGCGAAGAAATTGAAAAATCAGAAATCACCATTTGTTGACAAAATACGAAATGAAATGATCAAAGCAAGCCTCGAACCACTAATGCCTGTCTATGTCAAACTTTTTAACCTCATTTTACAATCCGGAAAAATGCCAGATGTTTGGTGTCAAGGCCTCATAACCCCAATTTACAACAAGTGATCCAACAAATTACAGAGGCATATGTGTTTCTAGTTGCCTTGGAAAACTGTTCTGTTCTATTTTAAATCGAAGACTTCACTTGTATTTTGAGGAAAATAAGATATTACATAATTCCCAAATTGGCTTTTTGCCTGAAAACCGCACTGCAGACCATGTTTTCACTCTAAGGACCCTAATAGATAAATATGTGCATTATCACAAGGAAAAAGTCTACGCTTGTTTCGTAGATTTCCGCAAAGCGTTTGACTCTGTTTGGCACGAAGGATTGTTTTATAAGCTGCTAAAAACGAATATAGGAGGAAACTTGTACAAAACAAACTTGTACTCATGAAAAGTCTTTATTGCAACTCGACATGTTCCATCAAAATCGGTGAAAACAAAACACAGCCTTTTTCATATTCCAGAGGTGTACGTCAAGGCTGTATTTTAAGCTCTCTTTTATTTAACCTCTATTTAAACAATCTACCACTTTTATTCGAAAACACGTTATCTGACCCATTTGTACTCCCAAATGGGAAAAAAATAAATTCACTTTTCTACGCAGATGATTTAGTTATTCTATCAAGATCGAAAACTGGATTACAGAACTGTTTAAATGCGCTTTCTTTGTATTGTGACAAATGGAAGCTAAAAATTAATCCGAAGAAAACAAAAATTATGATATTCCAGAAACGCCCAAAAAAATCTATTGACATCAAATTCAACATAGGCAGTGAGTCAATTGAAATTGTCCAAGAATACACTTATTTAGGTACACGTTTAACTCCAACGGGAAACTTTACACTTGCACTCGAACACTTAAAAGAAAAGGCCCTTCACGCGTTTTCTAGTATTCGGAAGCGGACAATTCTTAACAAACTTAATCCTAATACTGCATCCCAAATTTTTGACACCATGGTATTCCCAATCTTGAGTTACAACAGCGAGGTATGGGGAATGTACACCAAGCAAGATTTTAAAAAATGGGATAGCTCCCCAATAGAAAAAATCCACCTCAAATTCTGTAAACGTTACTTAGAGGTTAACAATAAGGCCTCTAACATAGCCTGCAGAGCTGAACTTGATAGACTTCCGCTGCTTATCCCGATAAATCAGAAAATTATGAAATATTTTGTTTACCTCAACAACAAAGATAATGACTCTATAGTCAAACAGTCTTTCCTTATGTCAAAGAATCTACATTCTATGAATAATTCCGGATATTTTTCCAATTTCATAAACATGCTTGAACAATACAATCTAACCAGTTTAGATGCTGAATCTCTAGATAATGATAAAATTAGACGATATACCACAGAAATGAGAGAGAAATATCTATCTTTTTGGCGGCACAGCCTCGAAAATTCAAAAAAACTAGAATTTTATAAAAATTTTAAAGGTGAATATTCTACATCTGATTATCTCTACCAGATAAGACATTATGACGAACGACAGAATTTTGTTAAATTTAAAATAAGTAATCACAAACTTATGATTGAACATGGTCGATACCAAATCGATCATTTGCCAAGAGAAAATAGATTATGTCCCTCATGTAACTCAAATCAGGTAGAAGATGAGATTCATTTCCTCTTTCAATGTAACAAATACTCAGTATAGAGACAGGCATTTATTAATCAAATCAATCGAATAATACCTGACTTTCACAAGAAATCATCTCCAGAAAGCATAAAACTGATAATGAATTCGAAGGAACATCATGTAAATAAGTTAGTTATGAAGTTTGTTTCCTCGTGCATGAAAATACGTGATTCATTGTTAGTAATGTAACCGAATTTTTCTAGATTATTATTAGTGCTGTTTTGTTTTATATTTTGATTGTCATATACATGCTTTTGCAATACTGTAAAATGATGCAGTCATGCAAATAAAGCAATTTATTACTTACTTACTACTACTACTACTACTACTACTACTATTGCTACTGCTACTGCTACTGCTACTGCTACTGTTACTGCTACTGCTACTGCTACTGCTACTGCTACTGCTACTACTACCACCACCACCACCACCACCACCACCACCACCACTACTACTACTACTACTACTACTACTACTACTACCACTACCACTACCACCACTACCACTACCACTACCACTACTACTACTACTACTACTACTACTACTACTACTACTACTACTACTACTACTACTACTACTACTACTACTACT